CCACAAACCATCAAGAACAGTGCTGTCAGTAGAACTTTCTGTGATGAAGGGATTTTACATCTGTGCTGTTCAGTGCAGTAGCCACTATGTGCGGCTACTGAGTACTTGAAATGTGTGTGGCTCCTGCAACTCAGCAAGTGAATTTTTCATTTTACTTTAGTAAACAACCTCATGTGACTAATAGCTATTATGTTGAGTGTTTGGAATTTTCAGTCTCTTCCCAGAAAGATACTGTGTTATTTTTAAATTATTGTTGTGGTAGTTGTTAAGTACCATTGAGTCAGTTATGACCCATAGAGTCTTTGTATAGGATTTCTAAGGAGCAGCTGGCTCCCTTGACACACAAACCTTGCAGTTCAAACAGCCTTGCAGTCCAGCACATTTACCCAGGGCTCCACACCAGAACTCCTCTATGAGTCAGAAGCAACTTAACAACAATAACGTATTATGAAGGGGGGCATATAGATGCTGTAGGGTAAGGACAGGACTGTAAATTACAAGGAATGCATTTGAAACCACCTGTCGCTCCCTGGAGAAATATGAGACTTTCTGCTCCTGCAAAGATTTACAGCCTTGGAAACCTTAACACACTGGATGGTACTAACAAGACTGTGATGAAGAGTCCTGGGTTGGTGCTGCAGGATAGCCACTGGACTGCTAACTGCAAGGTCAATAGTTCAAACCCATCAACTGGAATGATTACCGAGTCAGTATCTGTAAGCTCCTGACCCAGCTCAGCTACCTGGTGGCTACAACCAAGAGGACCAGGAAGCTCCTGACTCAGACACTGAGGTGACCAGTGTAGATGAAGAAACGGAGGATGAAGAAGGAAGAGGGGAAGGTAAGAAGGATGAAGGCAATGAGGAGGAGGATTTTGATGAAGAAGAACATGAAGATAAAGAGTAAGATATAGAAGGGGAAGAAGATGAAGACAAGTCAGTGGAGAGAAAGAAGAGTTTGGCCACCATGAAGAAGCTGATGAAGATAAGGGTGAGCATGAAGACAAGAGGAGGAAGAAATCAGGAAAAGAGGAAGACAGAAATAGATGATGATGGAGAAGATAATTAAGGCCCTAACTAGCCTGCAAAAATAAAACTATTGTACAGATGGATTTGATAAATGCTTTAAAAAAAAAAAAAAGCTAGCTACGATAGACCCCTCTGGACAACAACTCCCACCAAAAAATAGTGACTATGACATTCTGCCCTCCTCTACTGAATTCCTTTGGAAACTTTGCAACAAGCTTGGTGA